TATAAAAACAATTTGAACAATGAACAATGTAATTAGTCACACAAAAATTGGCACATTTGCGACTGTACCTAAAAATTCATAATCTGCAATTTTAAATAACAATATACAGAATGTAAGACATTACAAATGTAATAATATTGATTTTTTTAAATGCACGGGAGTATGACAGCATGATTTGACAAAGTATTCAGTACTTAGTTCATATTGGGAAAAAAAAACTAATTAGCATAAGACTGGACACTTATCCACGTTGCAAATTCTATCTGTAGCTTGTGTTATTATATAATTATGTTATATGCTCATGAAAATTATGTCCACTAATTATACCATGTCTAATAGCTATTTGCAAGACCTTAAGCATTAATTATCCACAATGAGTTTATCATTACCCACAATGATATATCTCAATATGATTTTACGGACAAAATGTTTTTATTTATAATAAAATGAGCTTTATGTAAGAGTAAATATCCTATGAGAATGTTGTAGATGGATGATTCCCTCTTGAAATGAATCATGATTAATGTATAGTAATGTTGCATGAATAAGATATGCGAAGAAATTCTATGGAGTTTAAGTTTCTTGTATCTTTGTTGAATTCACATCAAATATCTATCTCCTTCTCTGAAGCTTGACCATGAAGTTGGATTACAAAAAATGTAATAAAACATACTCGCATAACGATTGAGTAAAGTGACAAAACCAACAAAAAGTTGTGAAATTGCTGCATTTACTGAATTTGAATATTAAACGGTTTATCTGTCTTGAAATGTGATTACTGTGAAAATTTGTACTGCATTTATAGTGTGACTAATTGTTGTGTTTTTATGGTGTTAATAGTAGGAATGCCTAATAAACATATTTCCTGAAAATAATTGCGATGATAGACTCTACCTACTATTGTTTATAAGGCACTGCTCCATTTAGAGGCTATCTTCTATTTGAAAGCCTTAACCAGTAACTGCATATATTATAAAACGAGAATAATTGTCGCATACATATACTTTTACTTGAACAACGGATCTATTTCATTTACTGGACTCAGTGACGGAGCGTCAGGCGTTGTTTATACTGATAAGGTTTGTGCACTTTGGAATTGGATTCGATATTTTCATTTTTTTTAAATTCATTTTTAAAGTCATTTTCTAGAGTATTATTGTATTTTCTTTCTTTTTTGAAAATTTATGTCTTTATGAAATATTTACATCTCTTTCTCTCTCTCTCTTGGATAAGCATACTGCAGACTCTAGACACATTCTTTAAGCTCAAGTCTTGTCCAGTAGGGATCATGGAGTTTTATTCATTTTCAATTCTTAACAATGAAAATATAATTTTTACTATTGCATTAGTAATTCAATTTACTTTTGTAAACTTCATTATTGACATCTGTTTTTCATACGTTAGTAATCCATGAGCTAGAATTTTTATCCAACAAATCAAGCTCTTTACGTTGTGAAGGGCTCTGATATTTTTAAGTTCAATAAATACCATCATTTCACAATAGTTTTCCCTAGTGACTTTTTTTTTTTATCTTAAGATAGATCGTTATGCTTCAAAAAGGATATATCTTCTGTTTTGTGTATCGTAAATGGCTAATAAGTGGTGTCATTAATTCCTACACTGAAATGTTTAAAATCTACGTAGGAATGGTCAAGGTCAACAATCAATTTTAATTATATTATGATTGATTGATTTTTTTGTTTTTGGTTTCTAAAAGTATACACTATAATATGCTACACATATTTAACAACTACTTCATATTTACTTCAGACTTACAGTTCCATTTAGAAAATGCCAATTGATCCAATTCTATTCATTCTATTCTATGCAGGGAATATCACCCCCCTTTATATCTGATTGAAACTGATTGCTTTTTGCGTCAATAAGCACAATGTACTTTTTCACTAATTATAACTTTGAATGACAGATTTCTTAGGTAGTATCATAGATGTTTCATGACTCTTTCAACAAGGAAACGTACGGATCGATGATAGCATATCTTTACTACTTTCATCGAAATTTCTATGAATACTTAATAGGATTAAAATATATGAACAATACTACGTCTATTTTGTTATTTTCTACTGGAATAATTGGTTACAAGCATTACAGATAAAATAGCATAATCATCAATACTATTATATATTTTTCCCGCAATATTGCAATCGCTCATACCCGTATAAACAAAGATTACAATTTATTATCAAAGTGAAATAATCTTTGTATCTAGAGGATATCCCATGGTTTGTGGTTGGCTATGATTTTTATTCAACGAGTTGGGTGTTTTTTATCTCAAAAGCTTGGCGAGGGGATAGAAAGAAAATAATATCAGGCTCTTTTATAGGATCAATTTTGATTAGGTGGGGGCATTATCAGGAAAAAATGACAGCTGAAAAAAATCTTTGACTAGCCTCCACGAAAACAGGAGAACTCTCTTAACTTCAAATTCTGTTTACACTCCGTGATCGGAAGGTCGTGTGTTCAAATCACGGTCGCGACAGACCTAAGTCGATACAAATTGGGAAAAAGTTCCTTCGCCAAGCGTTTGGCACTTTGAAGTGAAAGTTGCGGGTCTTTCGGATGATACCATAAAAACCGAGGCCTCGTGTCACGGTAGGCGTTGGCACGATAAAGAACCCTCACTGCTCAATGGCCCTAAGTGCCGAGTAAAGGTCTAAATTTGAAACCCTTCACCGGTATATGGTGACGTCTCTATATGAGTGAAAAATTCTCGAACGGGACTGTTTTTTTGTTTTGTTTATTGTTTAACGTCCCTCTCTAGAATTTTTCACTCATATGGAGACGCCACCACTTGCCGGTGGAGAGTTACAACTTTTGACCTATACTCGGCATTCAGGGCCATTGAGCAGTGAGGGATCTTTTTCGTACCAGCACCTATTGCGACACGGGACCTCGGTTTATACGGTTTCATCCGAAGGACCGGTCTCCACGTCCCACAGTGGGATTCGAACCCGCGACGTAAGGATCAACTCCTTACGCCGCGACTCTAGAGCAAACGCTCTAACCACTGCACCACGCGGGCGACTCGAATGGGACGTAAAACAACATACAATCAATCAATGAATCAAATTTTGCTTTAGGGTTTGGGTGGAGTTAGGGGTGGGGGATTAAGGTCCATTAATGAATGACCAGCCTTTCATTGAATACTTTTAGTCTTAATTAAAAGTACACATTTACGTTTAGAAAAAAAATGGTGGTGGGGGGGGTGGGGGGGTGGAGGTCCCCTGCACTCCAAACCACCCCCACACCAAATTATATATTCCCTAATGTTATGTTCACCTGAGTGGAAGTCAGTAGCAAATGAAATAGCTTTCCAAAACTATTTGTTTCAATCTGGAATATCTTGATCTATTTTAGACCAATGAAAAAATAAATCCTTATATTCACCTGGAAGGTCACGTGCAGGTGAATATAACGTAGTATTTTTTCTACAATGTTGGATCTCAGCCAATCAGAGAGATAGGAATTATTCAATCATACAATAAAAATATTTATTATGTTTATCAAAATTCAATGGAAAATATAAACAACTCGAGTATTGTTAATTATGTGCTGATGTGTTCAAACAAGTGATAAATAAATTTCATTTATATGTATTGATGTTTAACAATTCTGATACAAACTCTTTCTTTCATAATCAAACTTGTAAAGCTTTTCATTAACACAAAATTTACCAAGATATTTATAGTTTTTATCAATATAAAAGAAAGATTAATTATATATTGTTTTTAGCAATTGATCAGTCTAAGTTTCCATGATCGATTAATATAAATTTATTGAAATATATTTATAGCCTCAAAATTACAAAGGCTACGAAAAGGGATTTTGGTCATAACATCAGGAGAAGTATTACGTTTTTTTTTTTTTATATATAAAATATTATAATTATTATTTAGTGCCTGCAAGGTCAAATGATACTACCACACAATGTAAACCCAATTTGGAGAGCTGTATACTTAAGCAATCCTTTTGAACTCAATAGTTATTTTATTTGAAACAAAAATGATATTGCTATTTGGCTCCAGTATTTGGCACTTTTTTCAGCTCTTCCAATTCTTTTTATTTAAACATTTTGGATTCCCAACCTTTCGGCTTGAGCATCACTGAAGAAATATAATTTGTCGAAATGCGCATCTGGTGCATCAAAACTGGTACCGTATATGATTTACATTATGACTCCCGGGTCGAGGCCTCTGCTGGTGGACTGTTAGTCCCCGAGGATCTCTACAGCCCAGTAACCTAGTACTTCGGTACTAGCTTGAACATACAGATATATATTTAATCGCTGTGGTAATATTTAGAGTTTTATTTCAAAATTAAGGATTATCTCCCTCATCCATAGATCTGATCCTTTGATGTATTTGGCTCCAGTCTTTGGCGCTTTTTTCAGCTCTTCCAATTCTTTTTATTTAAACATTTTGGATTCCCAACCTTTCGGCTTGAGCATCACTGAAGAGACATAATTTGTTGAAATGCGCATCTGGTGCATCAAAATTGGTACCGTATATGATCTACATATGTAACAATGAAACCTTTCTTTATACTCCTTTGCATTTTTTGGGAGATTTAAATCAAAACTGTTGCTTTTTTCAGTATCTGTACATCTTTTGTGTCAAGAGAGGACCAGCCAATCTTTTAATAAAGTATACACATTTTTTAATTAGTATACGGATATTTGGGAAATGAATTTTTTTTTTTTTTTTGTTTTTTTGTTTTTTTTTTTTTTGAAAAAAAAATGAATATTTTGTGAAAATCAATATGAATTCAGAATTCGCATTATAGTATTTAATTATTGATGTTTATATGACATCGCCATTTATCAATAGCGTATATACATGTATATTCTATTCACAAATCGTTTTTGAGAGATAAAATGCATTGAAAATATAACAATATATAATATCATACTATGAATATAATACTATATAAAGATTTAAGATTGTTCGTATTAATGATTCATATTTATACGTATGTAGAAGATGAAATTGAAAAATGATGACCACCATAAAAGGTCCTGTATTCAAAATACTCAACGAATCTTCTATGGACAACTGCTCTTTGTGATGACTTTCCTGGCAGTCATTATTGGATTTGTAGTAGGGTTCGGAATTCGTGAAGCTAGACCTTCTGAGGACGTGATACATTGGATCGGTACGTTTTTCTTAGAAAACACATAACCCTCACTCACACACAAGCAATTCCCCACATAGAATATATGTCTTTGTCATTGTTTTCTTTTTAATTTGAAGTGTAATAAAACATTGTCTGCTAATGTTTTTAAAGTTGTTTTATACTTCATGAAATAAGATGTCCTGATTAAGCAGTTACTGGGATGTGGTCGCCATTTTTATCTTAGAATAGGTTTCTGCTGATGCTCTCAAATTCACCCTGCAAATGTTTCATACACATTCTTTCCCACCATGGGGAAACATCGATGAAGACGTTCTTATTTTCTCAGTGAAAAAAAAAAGACTTTAGAATCCTTTCATGCATCAAGTAATGGATCCATCAGAAATTGAATAACAATTCCAATGAAGATGTTCTTCGCCTTATTATCCTATGACATACGATGGTTGTCTCAAATGTTTCGACAATTGTATTTTTGTCATTTTGAATGACAATATTCATTGGATATACATGTTGTAAACCAAAATATTTGTTATGGTAATTTAAGTCAGAAAAATTTGGCTTTGATTGTGTCAGCTTAAAATTTATGTATAAATCTCCGTCTTACAAGAATAAGAGTTAAATAGTTTACTATTTTATCAAAGTTTATACCACAGGAATTCAGTGTTTACAATGTCAATGTCAGAGTATTGACATTTAGTTAATTTACAAGTGGCACAGAAAGTTTTCAAACAGTAAATACAATTTGGGAATCACTTCGAGAAGTAAAAAGTCACTGCAATGTTATAAAATTACAAAACCCTGTATTCATAATTTTATTACCGGTCACTGTAGGAGGGTCGGGTTCGACTCTTGTTCGCGTCATACCTAATCATGATCTATTTAATTATATTATCATACAAGTTAGCACTGTGATCTAAAATAGTGCATGTGTCCACGAACTTTCTGGACAACTCTCGTATATGTCCTTTTTCTTTATACTATTAAAATTTGATCCTGACATGGCAAAGGGGGTAAGTAAATCTACATATTGCATTACACAATCCCCAGAAAAAATCAGAAGTTAGCAAAATCAGCAAAATCAGAATGTAAGATAAATATTTCTAAAATAATCACATAAAAATTATAAATTTTATTAGGAGTGAAACGGTTCACCGCGGTATCGATTCACCGCGGTATTTTTTCTCGGTTCGATACACGGTACAAAATCTCTATTTTCGGTTCGGTTCTTTTTTCGGTCGGGATCGTCATTCAGTCGGGTTTGGCATAAGGTATAAACATGCTTCTCAGTATAATTAGTTAAAAAACGTAAATTTTTGTGGACTTACAGTTTGTAAAATAATTTTTAACAGTCAAATCAATTAAATTGATTTCTTCTATCCATTTTGCACATAAATTATTTGACTAGATCAAGTAAAAGGAAGCATAAAACATGTAAAACAACAGTTGAATTTGTTTCCTTCTATCAAAATGTATCGTATCGAAAATAACCGAACCGAGACCAAACTTTACGATACATATCGAACCGTGAAGAAGGCATATCGTTTCACCCCTAAATTTTATATATTTTAAAGGTATGCCAGGAGATCTCTTCATGCGGTCGCTGAAAATGATGATTGTTCCTCTCATTGTTACCAGTGTCATAAACAGTAAGTGATGTTCATTATACATAAAGGAGGAGCGCAGGACCTTGAGATGAAGAAAATCTAGTTCATATTTTGTATATTACTAATTTAGTATGTCCTAGATATCTTAAAGCAGTTTTATCATCAGATTTCTTGACTTCGAGAGATAACGTCACATAAATATTACTTCTTTCAGTGTCTGTATGATTTTTTTTTTTTTTTTTTTTTTTTTTTTTTTTTTTTTTGTATTTACTAGTTCATAACGGAGTCTATATATTGTGAAGTCCTTCAGTTTATTAATTAACTGTAACAATATCCAATGTTAAGGCTCAATACATGTATTACACAAGACATCGTTGAACAAGATATAAGCATTTAATGTTTACATTTTCCAAGTACGAGAAAACAACAGTGACGTCACAAAGAAACGCTATCAAACAAGTAAAATTATTTTTGTGTTTCCAACTTGGAAAAAAAAAAAAAAAAAAAAAAAAAAACTTTACGATGCAATTATAGTGACATGTTTTCCTGTAAATAAAACTTACCATGTGATCAACGTGTACTTGATCTCGCTGCACTAAGAGATAGTATATAATGTCACTGATTTGTAAGACATGCAACGTAAAGGAACAGATCTAGAGGGGTTGATCAATCTATTTCACAATTTATAAATATTGATATGATCGATAAAATATTTTTTATTGTTTTTTTTTTTTTTTTTTTTTTTTACATTAAGTGTTGAAGCTTAACAAGTTGTACACTAGCTACACAAATACTGATAATTTTTAACAACGTTTAGCATCTATATTAAAAAAGACTATGACGTAGTCATTTGAGTCATGTGACACGTGTTCTGTCTCTGTTAACTGAGAGATACATTTGCTCGAATCAGTCCTTACAATTCTAAGACTCTTTTTCAAAGTTCCTGAACTTTAAAAAATCGCTATTTCTGATATAATATGTGCATCCATGTATGAAGAAAGTTAATAGAATTCGAAAAAAGTGCTGGAAAATCAGTGTTCTTAGTTTTCGACAATACAAGTACGCTAGTATGTAAAATACTTTTACCCCTTCATGGAAGTACCAGCTGTAACTGAAACTTTGTAATAATAAAGCGTATAGGTTTAATTATCTATTTTTTTCTACCAGGTACAGCTTCACTAGATCCAAAATCCAACGGTAGAGTTGGCATGATATCCATCACATACATATTTCTTACCAACATGATGGGATGTTTGATTGCCATAACACTAGTGTACATCATTAAACCAGGTAATTTTATGTAATTAATTTTCAAAATTCCAATTATTAGCTCGTGAATTTTATAATATGATCGATGAATATTGATATCTTTTTCTTACTTGCACTTTTTTTGTGTGTGTAAAATAAAGGATACTAATAAACTTTTCAAACAATATGTCCACTAAAGAAAATACAGTTAGGGGAGTTGTAAATATAAGATTTTATAAATTCGCATTGTTTAAGCTGACGGCGCTAAATTGAAGACTGAAATGCATTTCATATTACATAGATACATGGAAGTACATTGATATTTCACTCCACCACTTTCTATTCTTTCACGTATATCTTCACATTCATATTCTGAAAATGATACTTACTGGTACGTTTCCCGGGTGTGCCTTTCTTTACACTTTGTTAATTGTCAGACCAAACGTATTACAAGCAAGCAAAAAACAAACACCTGTTTTCTCTGTAATGTAAATCCCCCCCCTTTTTTTTCCCAAAATAGTATTCCCTTGTAAAATATGATGACTCCGGTATGGAATAATTAAGTCCAAACAGTTACGTTGAATGTAGATATGAAGTAGAGAATACTTGCATTATGCTTTTATAGATATATATGTTGTGACTTACTTGCGTCATGTTAGAATCTGAGCTTAAAACCCATTCTTTTAATTCTAGGACGAATCAACCTTGAACATGACAAGAAAGTAATGGTAAACCAAATTCAACCACAGGACATATTTGCAGATTTACTAAGGTATTGTTGGATAAAAAATAGCCAGGGTAAGATTATAATTCTTAGTGCACATTCAATAAATATCAATAGATAATCTCTAAATGTATCATTTACTAAATAAAAATCTACAACCCGGCTTAAATTCTATATCAAAAAATGATTAGGACACAGAACACTAATTAATGAGTCGGATGTACATATCACAGTTGCAAAAGAGCAAATATACTCATGAACATACTAATATACATGCAAACTTTTCATTATCAAATTTCTTGCAAATACCTTCTTTTTCCCGAAAAATTATAATCTTGATTTTTGAAGATAATGTATGGATATTAAGTTAAACGATAATTTTCAAGGCAAGACATCAAAACCTCGATTTTTTTTCATTTTAAGAAAAAATTAAAACTAATATATATGTAATACTCCAAAGTCCAAATATCACGCCGATTTCCGATGGTCTGCGCCAAACTCCGGCGGTCTGTCCAAACTCCGACCCTCTGGTGTCGATACAAACGTTGAAGTCCAATGGCTCTTATCCTTTAAGACACGCCACAATAAAATAAGATGGTCAGGCATTCCAGCGTCCGATAATGCAGGGGAAAAGTTTATAACGTCACAAAATTCCGACATCAGTCCTAACCCCGTTCTCCGGCTTTAAATATCCAACAAATTAAGCTTAAGTCTCGCGCAGTTCTCCACTGATTAGGGTTAGTCTCGCAAAGTATTCGACTGATTAGGGTTAGTTCTCGTTTTCCTCTGATTAAGGTTAGTCTAGCACCACCCGGGAGATTAAGTGTAGTTCTTAAAGACTAGTATACTAATTGCAATTAGTATCGCACCAATTCCAGAGGGTGAGGTTAGTCCTCGCACATTTGTTGACTGATCATGGTTAGTCTGGATCCCACCCTAGAGATCGTACCTCGTGTCTTGTAATAAGAGACACAATTTACATTTTTTTTCGTGATTATTTCTATACCATCGGACCTTGTTGTGGCAACAACATGACATTTGGTGCATTAGTGAAGACCAATGGAATTTTGCGTTTCACCCGATAGACTGCATTTGAACCATCGGAGTGTTAAACCATTGAGTTTTGCCGCAGACCATCGGACTATCAGACGTTTGAGTGAAATCGCACTTTGGCGTCTTACATACATTGTATATACGTTTGAGAGACACATATATCTATTTTCGAATTATTTAACAGAAATATCATACCAGATAACCTAGTAGAAGCAACTTTTAGAAAAACTCAAACAAAATTAAAACCAGGAATTGTTCGGATGGAACCAAAGAATCTCGGTAATGTTACAAATGGCACTGCTGATGTAAAGCAAACAATGGAAATGGTGAAGAATGTCGGCAAATCAGACGGACCCAACATACTTGGTAATATTATGGATAAAATAATTTTGATCTCAATCTGATTCAACTTGTATCATGCTGAAAAAGTTTATCAATAAAAATTAGATTAATCATTGTTTCGCCACCTCTTAATAATTAATAGAAATATTCTGCAAAGCACAGGAACAACGCCATTTCAAGTTCAATATTTGACAATTTTGCCAGGACTGATATTGGCCTGCATGTTCATAGGAATTGCTGCTGGGAGATTTAGAGAAAAAGCCAAAACTTTCCTGAACTTCTTCGAAATCAGTGCTGAAATTGTGCTGCAAATTCTTCGCTGGTTTATCTGGTAAAGCTCTAATGATTATTACAATATACTTAAGAATTTGTACGTTACTGACATATTTTATTTGTGTTTGTGCACTAGATGTTGAGTTGAGACAATTGTGACTTGTGATACATCTACATTACAGGTAACGTGCATTTCGTTCTGAAACAATTTTTTTTTAGATATCAACATAAACAATAAAGATGATTTAAATGATACAGAGAAAGAAAATGTTTCATAACGAGATCGCCATAAAGGGTGTTAAGAAAGTTCATTCCGTTATTTACATTAGGCCTAAATTTATTCATAAAAACACATGTGCATTTTTTTTTTTTTGGATGTTTAATGACCAGAAAGTCCACCTTTGTTTTTCAATTCATTTTTGATTTTATTTGGCATGGAATGAATTAATGAAATCAAATGTTTCTGACGTATTAACCTCCATACACGTTGAAGACGGTGGTGTAATTGGTCCATGGATGTTGGGCCTGAGTCCTGGTAGGCCTCACTGTCCAGAATACTCTAGAGATTTTCTACAGTGTATGTAATTGTCAAGGCCATTCCTCTTTGGAAATAAGGTGTGGTAAAGTATTTTTACACCAATTCTGTGTTATGAGGACAGTGTGAGGTGACGCCCCATATTGAACTAGCATAGCGTGTCCCGGATATTGAACCAACTTTGTTCACGAATCAATCCTGAAATTTATTCTGTTTTTTTTTCCTTTTACAAGTAATTAAAAACAGTAGCATGACTCACATTAAAGCCTGATTTCTTGAGTTCCTTGCTGCATTTTTGTGGTTGATTTTCCTCTTTTGTATTATCTGTTCTCCATTTTTCTCTATACGACGCCTTCTATTTTCAACGGTCGGCCAGATCTCGGTTGATCGGTTAGCGGTCTTTTTTGCTCTTGACTTTGTCGCTCACCTTGACACAGTTGTTTAGCCGCATCCTTAACACTTAGTCCTGCATATAATAAAGCCAATCTTCAGCTCGTTCGTTGACAGTATCGACACTTGTACAGGACGTCTGCTTTTTCACCGAACTCGTCATTTTATTTGATGACGTAATAGACATACGCTATAGTAACACAAGAGAATGCACCTAGGGAAAGATGACTACTGATATGATGAGACATATTGTACAGTGAATTTGAAATAGAAATATGGCTTTTATTAATTTTTTTTTTCAAAATCTACCAACAGAACGAACTTCTTAACACCTTTTACAAGTTGAAAAAAGGTGTTGTTTTCAGTCATGTCATTGTCCATCTGTCTGTCTGCGAAATATCCACATTGAGTTGTGAAGTGATGTAATCGGGAAAACGTGTAAAATAAATAGAAAATCGTCAGTTTAAGTCCACTAATTATACTGATGCTTGTATTTTCCTAACATTTACAAACTTTTTTTTAATATTTACTCTATTTTAAAAGATAAAGTCGTACTACACGTACAGTGATAGATCAAAATAAATATGATAATGGGGATAATTTGTGTTTCCATATTTAGATTTCCAAGGTTGTCGGTGGTATGCTTAAGCCTCGAGCTCTTTACTCCCTCAGTGTTAGTCTTTTAATTGACTGTTCGCACCTTAAAAAAAATTGTTATGAGGGTTGAAAGTTTGCCAGTTTTTTTTTCATTTAAGAAATTTTGTGAGTGGAAACTTCTTTTACTGACGCTCTATGATAGTATTTTGCATTTCTCTTGACCAAGAGTGAGAAAATTGGCGAGTAAAAATTCTCATAATCAGTCATTACGTTTCTAATCGTCAATGTTTCCATCTACACAGTTTAAGAAATATTATTAGTCTCTAATTAAATATTGGTAGCTTTCTAACAACCATGTATAGATGATGTAAAACTATAAGTATGTTAAGTATAATTCAGTAGAAATATCTCTTTCAAAATCAATTATCAACGCTTATTTTACTTTTAGGTTGACTCCGGTAGGCGTAGCCAGTCTTATAGCCGCTTCCTTTGCAGGTACCCGTGACGTCAGCGAGACGTTCATAAGTCTTGGGTACTTTGTGTTGGCAGTTACCTTGGGTATCCTTTTTATTCAAGCCATTCTTCTTCCTCTAATATATTATGCTCTCATTCGAAAAAATCCCTTTTATAACATCTTCTGCATAAAGCGAGCTTGGCTGATGGGATTCTCTTTCGCTTCATCGTAAGTATACGTGTAAGAACCATGACATATTTGGCAGTGAACATGTATATAGATTTCTAGTCATGGACTTCAAGTGCTTAAATTTTCGCTATACATTTTCAATTCCAATAGCAGTTATGCACTCACACAGAGATTCTTAATCAAATATATTCTATAGATACTATGGGAAAATAATAAAGTAACTCAAAGAAGGGGTATCTTTTTTCTTCTCGTGATGAATAGTGGGGAAAAAATAATAGAGCTGTATCTTTCCTTTTAAAAAAAAATATAACTATATAAAATGTTCCTCTACCTTAGACGTAAGAGAATTATCCTTTTTTTTTTTTGGTAATATCATCAATGTATTTTTCAGGACTCTTGCAATCCCTGACTTGTTGCATGCATGTGAAAATATAATGAAATTCGACAAACGCATTACACGCTTTGTCATACCTCTTTGTTGTACATCGAATACAGATGGGAGTGCCTTGTTCATATCAGCAGGTGCTATGTTCATTGCAAATGTGTCCGGGTATAATTTGACATTTGGAAATGTGATCATAATAGGGTATGTGTTTTAGGATAAGTCGAGGCCAAATTTATATACTGCAGACCCTGAAATGTGCTACGTACTTTGGCGCGTACTTTTCGTTTCATAACCCTCAAAGTGATGTGAATTATATAAGGAAAAAAAAACATTACATCATTTAGACTGAAGAGGAAAAAAATAAATATGCTGATTAAAACAAACGAATAACAAACAGAAAAAAATAGATATTTAATGAAGACTGAATAATAAATATTTTTGAAAAGATTGCGTAGTCCTGATTTATCAGTACAATGATAGAGTGATAAATAATATCGATCTTTTACAGCACGTTCCTTTGTTTTCATTTAAATAATTGCCGAAAGAATCCGAAAAGAAACTGACATCGTGTGAAAATCTTGTACAAAGCGTGTGAGAACTAAGTACCAAGTTCTCATGTAGCCTTTTTGTAAACTCTGTAGCGTTTCGTGAAAATTTGTTGGTGCAGACCCGGTAGCATTTCGTGTAAACCTTAAGGTTGCATGGGTTTGTGTAATCTGTGTAGTAAGCGTGTCGGTGTACTGTATGCGCATTTGAGGAAGTAGCAACTTTCAGGTCCGTGTACAATTCACCTAAAATCCATTTTACTAAGTAGACTAGGAAATGAAGTTTTTTTTTTTTTTTTTTTTTTTTTTTTTTTTTTTTTTTTTTTTAATACAATTTTCCATGGGCTCTGCATGATATTGGACGTGCAGTTAAGTGAAGTTAAGGTAACATATATTCATACCATTATTGTTTTTTACCGCGTTTTATAAAATATCTTTGCAGAATTTTGACAACTTTATCATCACTCTCCTTACCAGGATTGCCGAGTGCTAGCATGGTAGCTCTGGTCATGGTACTTTCTGCCATTAGTGTACCTGTACAGGAGGTTTCTTTGTTGTTTGCCGTTGAATGGTTTCTGTAAGTAACTCTACGACACCGACAGTATCATCGTGATTCAGCAAAATTTCGTTCATATGACATCATAACATGTTTGTGTTCGTACAATTAGATTGTAGAAAAACTACTCTTATATAATTAGTGCAGGTACATGTAGAGGCAGTTATACACATATATCTAGTATAATAAATTAACTTATAGTAACTATACGTAAATACAACATACACATAGATTCATTTTTCACAGACATTCATCAAAGTATAGTTTTATTTTTGTTTCTTTAGCGACCGCCTTAGAACAGGAGCAAATGTTGAGAGCCATTTTGTCTGCGCTGCAGTCACGAATCATTTCTGTAAACGGAAATGCGACTTGAAGGAGGAAAATGTCGAAAACAATCCGGAACCAGACATTGAAATCATTGTCCAGTCAGATGAAGAAGAATATATCCACAATGTTTAATTCTTTAATATATTTCCCGTCCCAAACAACCGATATTCAATTTCACAAGACATCCTTTAAATCCACTCCTTTAATGATTATTTTTCATCCAAATTCAGAGAAATTGAATATGCAATAAAAATGATTTGATATTTAAAAAAGAAATATGGTATTTATTTTTTAAGTACATTACATAAATAAACAGAGGGGGAAATTAACCATTTGCTTTGATACGGGAGGTTAATGTTGACAGTTTTGAGTGACATTCCAGTCTTTAACCTGTCCTTAAACGAATCACGAAACTTTGCACACAACATAGGCCAAATCAAATTTAAGCGAATCCATTTTATACAACATGCTGTTATTTCGTGGATTGATAAATTATACCATCCTTCTTAAACTCATTAAAGCCAAAGCCTCGAGTGACCTTTTCAAACTCATGAAAGCCAAAGCCTCTAGTGAGCTTTTAAAATTCATTAAAGCCAAAGCTTATAGTAAGCTTTTAAAACCCATTAAAGCCAAAGCCTCGCGTGAGCTTTTAAATCTTATTAAAGCCAAAGGCTCCAGTGATCTTTTAAAATCAAAAAAAAAAATTAGCTTTTCAGATCAACATTGGTTCTTCGCCCATCTCTGCGACAGAGAGTCAACATTTGACACAAAAAAATATGAATTCTTCAAAAAGTTATTAACAACACCAGTGCCAATTATTCCTATTGATCCACACAACCCATGGCTTGACATTGTGCCATTATTTTTCCCATGATGACGCTTCAATTAAGAAAATTTAGAACAAAGATTAGCGATGGTATAACTAAAAAAAAAATATTTAAAAAGAACTCTCAACAAGAGGCCCAGGGGCCACATCGCTCACCTGAGCACTATGGCTAGGAAAAAGCAGAAATCACTTCAATCTTGAAAGGTTGAAAAGTTTAAATATAAAAGTGGTTGTGGGGGGGGGGGGGGTGTCATGAATTGAACAAATTTGAATCTACATTATCTGAGGATGCTTCCATTTAAATATGACCAATCATGGCTTTGCTGTTCTTGAGTAGAAGATTTTTAAAGATTTAACCAATGTATTCCTATGTAAAACTTTGATCACCCATTGTGGCCCCACCGACCCCCAGGGGTCATGTTTGAACAAACTTGAATGTACACTATCTAAGAATGCTTCCATATAAATATGACCAATCATGGCTTTGCTATTCTTAACAAATAGTTTTTTTTAAGATTTATACTATGTGTTCCTATGTAAAACTTTGATCGCCCATTGTGGCCCCATCCGACCCCCGGGGGTCATGATTTGAACAAACTTGAATCTACACTACCTGAGGATGCTTCCACATAAGTTTCATGTTTTCAAGCACAGTGGTTCTGGAGAAGAAGATTTTTTAATGATGCCATTAATTTTTCACAAATTCTTAATTATCTCCCCTTGGAAGAAGGCGTGGCCCTTCATTTGAACAAACTTGAATCTCCTTTACCCAAGGATACTTTGTGGCAAGTTTGGTTGAAATTGGCCCAGTGGTTCTTGAGAAGAAGTCGAAAATGTGAAAAGTTTACTGACGGACAGACAGACGGACAGACGGACTACAGACAAAATGTGATCAGAAAAGCTCACTTGAGCCTTCGGCTCAGGTGAGCTAAAAACAGGATAACTGAAAGGAGCAATTTGACCTCAACAGATAGAAGTGTTTACTTGAGAATCATTGCTTATTGATCAAATTAAGGTGCAGAATAATCTAAGTTTTTAGCAAATAAACTTTTAGATTAAATAAAACTGTATGTACTTACTTTAGCATCTTGTAGAGTACATGGATGTACGTGTATTTTAGTGTACAGTGCTATAGTTTTACAAAATAGGCATTTGAATCTTACAAAAAAGATACCGAAATATTACAATTTCACTAACTTCACTTTCGAAAGAAAAATAGTTAATAGACGGTTTCTTTTCTTTTTTTTTTCTTTTTCTTTTAATCGAAGATCACATTGGTGTCCATTATAATGCACACTATTCGGACTTTTCAGAGACGGAAAAATACAAGTTGTTTGTGAAAAGGTTTTATGGTAACATATGTAAGTATCATCCCAAAACACGTTCTTTACACGTTTTTTTTTTTTTTTTTTTTTTTTTTTTTTTTTTTTTCATTTTTTTATTTTTTTTAATCAATTTATGCTTATATCTCGAATTTCTGAAATATTCAGGTACTTTAATATTTCCTCTTCTAATTCATTTATATCATTTGCATTTGTGTCAACATTTTCAACATATGTAAATCAAGAAGCACTAAATTTGAGCATGCACAGAATACTTAAGAAATTTATAATGACTGCTTTCAGCACATTGGGATGTTGTTATCATAATTTATCTACAAGATTTGATTTGAACATATTTAATTATATAATACATACAAAAGTATTGGATACAAGTTATTTTAACTTAACAAGTGTCTTTTTCACGCTTATTAATTGAATTTAAGCTACAAAAATAGTTGTATTGCAGGTCTCAATGATACGAAAGCCGGATAGGCTCATTTTTGACAAGATAAAAAATAATTAACTCGTTATAACGAGATAGTTATCTCGTTATAACGAGTTAGTATCTCGTTATAACGAGTTAGTTATCTCGTTATAACGAGTTAGTTATCTCGTTATAACGAGTTAGTTATCTCGTTATAACGAGTTAGTATCTCGTTATAACGAGATAATTATCGCGTTATAACGAGTTAGTATCTCGTTATAGCGAGTTAGTTATCTCGTTATAACGAGTTAGTTATCTCGTTATAACGAGATAATTATCTCGTTATAACGAGTTAGTATTTCGTTATAACGAGTTAGTTATCTCGTTATAACGAGTTAGTTATCTCGTTATAACGAGATAATTATCTCGTTATAACGAGATAATTATCTCGTTATAACGAGTTAGTTATGTCGTTATAACGAGACAGTTTTCTTGTTATTTCGAGACTTAATAGCAATATAGGAATAAAGATGGCTGCAGTTTTAAATGCCGTTGAATTTTTAGCAAGTAATTATCAGTCAAATTTAACTTGAACAATTGATAAATGGTTGAAAATTTAATTTGCTCTGGGGTTTACTTATGATTAAATCTTGAACTATCTCGCTGTCAATAATCATAGCAACTCTAAGGCGAACACATTTACACATTTTCGTGAACTCCTCCTCAAATTGTTGCATTAGGACGCAATATTTTTCTTAAAAAATATTGCCAAACATACTTGCTTCAAACTTTGGCAATTTATTTATGACAACTATTTCTGATGAATGACACTATTTCGATATGATTTGGACGACTTACCGGTATACACTTTCATATATCAATTTCTATACCGCTAAAATTAAATATCAGAGACAATATAAGTGCAACATATCGTTTATGCAACATATAATATATAAATTACAGTGTTATACATATGTTACTTCTGAGATTCATAATTGTTTTGAAGACGAGGGATGGTGAGACATCAGCAGTTAGATCATAGGCGTAGTAATAGAGGGGCTAATGTCCACACCACCACTTTTGAAAAGGGGGCGGTCAAGAGTATCTTTGTGCCCCTTCCTCCATATTTTTTTTACCTGAATAAATATCTCCCGAAAATAATGGCGAATACTCGTAGTTGGAATATCAAATCTATTTTTTTTTCTTTTTACTTGTCAAATATTTTACTTGGTTTACCCCCTCCCCCCCTTTGAACTTCGTGACTTATGCATATTGTCCACGATAATGAGGAATGGTGAAGCAAAAATGATATCACATCCTTTTAAGTAATAAGACGTTAAATCTGATCTGCTGATATTGACATTTTATCTAATATTCTGTCATGATTCACTGTTTATATTTTTTTTTTTTTTGGGGGGGGGGTCCAAGTTGTGGAGATTCACGGAGACCTATTTGAGATTCACGTCTATTTGGCGGATCCTATATATGTTTACCACATAGTGTCAGAACGTCAAACCAGAGTTTACAAAACAAAAAAAAAAGTTTACAGAGTTTACAAAGCCAGTTCACCTTTATAATCTTTTTACTTAGGATTGATCAACGAATAGGCCTAATACTACATATGTACATTTATATTATTAATACAACATTGAAGCAATGTCGTTAATTATTTTCCTCATCACAATATTTAGTATGTATACTTTACAAGCATATAATTTTTATTTCCAAAAGAGATTGATGATTTTTTTTTTTTGGGGGGGGGGGGATAAATAGAGGATATTCAATGTTTTTGTAGTTGATATGGAATTTATTTCACGAGTGGGACAGGAATTTTTTTTATATTTTCATGAGTGCGAAGCACGAGTGAAAATATCAAAAATCCTGTCTCAACATACAATACACATTTCTTGGCAAAATTTATGCTTGAAATACACCTTAAGTAATGCTTATCATATTGTAAACTTTAGATATTAAACTTTCATTCTATACCCAAAAAGGATCACAAACATGTCAACTGTTTTTACTAATGCTGACCTTCACCTTTTATTGTGGCTTCCGTAGAATAAAGAGCTCCAAAAGTTTTTTTTAGTTCTACCACATTGATAATAACGCAAAAATTACATATTGTAATCTAAGATTCCATGCCAAATTGGTAAATTAAAATGTTTCTTTCTTTTAATAAACAGAAGAAATATATAAATTATTAAGTGATAAGTACAGTATTAGTTCTTGATATTCATCATATTTATTATTGAGGGGAAGGAGGGATTGATGATAAAAACAACGTGAATTTAGTTTTTTGTCATGCAGACATTGAATTTTGATCTTGCCCCTTTAAGACGATAAAATTGAACTGGTATTCCTTGTTAACAGGCAAGGAATTATCAAAATATGATCGTTAAAGCCTAACAAATGGTTTCATATCCACATGATTTATTCGGAATATTCAAAATAATGGGATTATTTCTATGCATTTTTTATTGCGACAAATATTACGCAAACATTATTATAATTTTAACAAATTCAAGAAAGCTTGAACAGGGCAGTAAAATCAGCCAGAGTATATCATTTTTTTCTGATCTCCTTGTACAAGTTGACAAAATTTTGATGTTATATACATTCCGTTTGAAGATGACACTAATTCTATTTTGCAATTTTAAGGTATAACACAACAACATGA